AAGTTCAACCCCACCATGACCGCATAGCGAGTGATTAACATCCGGTGACACAAAGTGCCAACATTCGGATGAGAATCGCTCAGGCGCAAGTCCTAGAAACCCCCGCTCAACAGTTAGGTTATATTTAGGGCCCCCAACAGCAGATGGAGCAGGACTTTAAAAATTCACGGTAAATTGCGTCCCATATTGGGATGGCTGTATATTGTTCAGCCGTCGCTTCTCGATCTTCTGGTAAAGATCAAAGTATAGTATCTGTTCTTATCCAGTAGTTTCTGACCAAAAAGTAATTGTAAGAAAACGCATTATGCCGTATAAGGAGGGAGGGGGAGGGGCAAGGGGTAAATTAACTCACACACCCTCCCCCTCCCCCCCCCCCCTGCCCAAAAAAAGGCACGAGAGAGCTCTCGTACAGACTGACAAGCACACAGACACACCAGAGGTACCAGAAATTAGGACACGCAGATACCTTGAGTTTCCTAAACCACCCCATTCTCCCCAGCAAATACCACGAATAGAGAGGTCCTATGTTTAAATTAATCGGTTTTTTTTTAAAATATACATCTTATGTGTATCATCTGCCTGGCTCTCTAGCGTAGTTGGTTAAACCTGACTTTGACGAACTCCTTGTGGTCCGGGTTCACTCCCGGGGGTACGCAGAAAAGCCACATTTCCCCCAGATTAACGGTACCTATAATGCAATCAAGGCCGAAGGGTTGCGATATCCATAGTACCGAGCCAAAGGGTTTACAGCTCGTGGTTTCTGGATACTTAAAAAAAATTGTATATCATCTTATACTTTTTTTTTATTTGCTACAAAATATATATTGCAAATCAGCCCATTATAATCATTAATATCATCATCATTACCATCATCATCACCATCATCACCATTATCACCCTCATCATCCTTATTATCAGCTTTAAAAAGTCCTTCCCCCCCCCCCACCAAATTCCCGTACAGATGTATACGGGAATCTCAGCCTGCTCCAGCCACGCTACTAATGTCTTTTTTGTGTTGGCACCCCTGAGACACAGGTACAGACTCACGTACTGACACACATTCAAAAACACGTACAGACACACATACAGACACACGTACAGACACACATACAGACACACTTACAGAAACACATATAGACACACGTAGGGACACAAGTTCAGACACACGTAGGGACATACGCATAGACACACATACATAAATATACACACAGATACACACAGACAGACACACATACAGGCACACAATCATACACACACAGACAGATACACATACAGACAGACATGCAGACACACATACAGATACACAGACACACACGTAGAAAGACACACAGACGGAGACACATACAGACACACAAACACTTGCATAAACTCACATACAGACACAGAGACATACACAGACACACACACAGTCAGACATATAGACACAAAGACTGAGTTAAAGACAGACATTTTTGTCGGGAAAATAATTCTGGAAGATTGTTGTAACACACCTCTATCTTCTAGCTCTACCTTAGCTTAAAATTAGTGCCAGAAATTGTCCTGGAAAGTTAATGCGGCCGACGTGATGTAGATCACCTGAACCATCAAGTACCGATTGGTCAAAACCTGGGTCGAGCACCATATGTCGAAGCGTCAAAGGTGCCATTAAGATCCCTTTTATTAAATATACGATTTCAGACAATGTTTATATATATGTAGAGGGAAGAGAGAATTCTCAAGAGCTATGCTATATAAATCGTATCTTGACATACGGAGGAGAATCATGGTCAATCAGCAGATAAGGGAGCAATTATGCGGAAGTGGCGTAAGGAGTGATTGACAAGAACACTCTAGACAGATAAACAGAATAAAATAATATGTTGAAGAAACCTAACGAAGAGAAGTGAATGCCACCGTCAGAAGGAAACAATCTACGTTTATCATGAGAATGCAAAAACTGGAGTTCATTGTGACCGTGAAAAGGTTGGAATGGAAACCAAGCAGGGGGGATACTGGCAGAGAGGTAGCTGTAAGGTTGTGCATCATGGCATTGAGGATCATCTGTGTTAGAAATGTTTAAAAGTATAGGAGACAGAAGGATGTTGACAGGTACGACTACCAACGCCACGCAGCGCGGACTGTAAGATAATATATAAATATATGTAGTAGAAACTTCAGTTGATTAACTCCCAAGTTTTGACTTCATTTTCTATAATCGGATGGTCACCAAAATATACTCAGTGAAAGACAGTCTCTACATAGTGACCACCTGAAATAGGACGCACAATATCTTCTTCCAGTGTCTTGTGGCATTGGTAGTCATGTTTATCCATAACCTTCTGTCTCGTGTACTTTCAATCACTTCTGACACTCATGATCTTCCATGGCATGATTTAAAACTGTCTCGCCCCCTCTCTATCGGTCTCCTTTTGTCTCTTTTCACATTCCAACTTGTCCACCGTAACGAGGTACTCCAGTTTGGTCCTTCTAATGTCATGCCAAAAATATGTAGATTCTCTTCTACTGATGGATGAAACCAGTGTTGCCACTTTGGATCTTTTATATCCAAATTTAGATCTTTTTCATTGCATTTAGATACTGTTTTTGCCGTTTAGATCGTAAATATTTTTCTAGAACTTTTCATATGGAGTTAGATATTTTATAGATTTTTTTTCCTTGCATTGTCAATTTAATAATTACCGTGTAAAATATTTACTACAATATTTTTGTTTTGGTCTGGCACGTACATTGTGACAACTGCCATTACTTGAACTTTGAACTCTCACTGGGGGTCAACGCACAAATATCTAGCAGCCCCGGTACTGATTAATAAAAACGCGCGTAAATCATACTTACTTTGTTTCAACCGTGTCCTCACTGTGCTGACTTTGCGTTTCTTTTTCATGTGATTTAAAAAAATAATTGCTCACCTTCTTATGTGGCTTTCATTTTGAAAAAACCTTTCAACATGCCAAAAGTAAAGTATGAGCAAAAAATTTGGAAAGAATGGTTGCATGATGACAAAATTAAAAACTGGAAATATGACCAGAGCTTGTTGTAAGTACTGTCAGTGTGAAATCAAAGCGAAAATACAAAACTCAAAGAGACTAAAAAAGCATAAAACTGCAGTTTCATTTAAAGATATTACACCGCTGACATCTGTTTTCAGAACTATACTGATAAATAAATCATCAAAAGTTAAAGTATCAGTCGCAATGTTTTTAATTTGTCACTGCGCAATTTCAAACTGTGACCATTTGATCGATTTGTAAAAAATCTTGGACTAGTTCAATTTGAAAAGTGTGGTGTAGAAAGTATAGTTTAGGAACTGAAGGACCTTTTAATCAGCAAACAGTTAGTCTTGAAGAATTTGGCTGTAATTGGTACTGATAATGCCTCAGTGATGGTTGGTATAAACAATGGCTTTTATGCCAAGTTGAAGGAAGCTAACCCATCGTTAATAGTTATAAAATGTATGCGTCATTCATTGCAGCTAGCATTATCACATGCTTCATCTAAATATTTACCGAGGAATTTGGAATACCTTATTGCTGAAACACTTTACTAGTTTTCCAAATCATATGTCAGACAACAGCAATACAATACATTATATACAGCCTTGAATGATGGTTCCACACCACCAAAAATTCTGTCAGATTGCAAAACTAGATGGTTATCAATTTAACCAGCTGTTGAAAGAATTATGAAGCAATGGCTGAAGTTAAAGACACACTTTGAAATAACAAGACAAAGTGAAAAGTGCTACACAGCTGAAATACTATATGGAATGTACAGTGATGAAAAAAATGTGTCATTCATTCTCTTTTAATAACCTATTTTAATGGAAGTGCAAAAAGTTAATAAACTGTTCGAATCTAAACTTGTTGATAAAGTTAAATTACTTGATGATCTCACCTTGCTATTTCACTCGGTAAAAGACTGGTGTTGCCAACTTCTAAATCTGATTTGCTTACTTGCACTACAGAGAGCTATTTGGCTCCTAAGCCACACCTTGGATATTAAATCGAATAAAAAATTGATGATTTAAAAACAAAAGGACTGTTAACAGAGAATAAGGAAAACAACTTAGGAAAACGCTGTCAAAATTTCCTTATCTTATTATTGAAGCAACTGAAGCAGAGACTTTCTGAAAATCTAGATGTTTTGAAAAATATTTCACTTTTTTCTGTGAGCAACATACTTCAGCCAATAAATGACATACCTAAATATTGTAAAGTTATGAAATTTTTAGGGGCTACTGATGATAGTGTCGCGGAAGCAGAATATCAGTTAACCAAAATAAAGTTAGCTGAATGGACAAACAAAACAGAAACTAAAGCGTTTTGGAGTGAAGTGAGTCAATTTAAAGATGCCTCATCAAACAGTCCATTCTGTAAGCTCTTTAAAGTGCCATGTCTGCCATGATACTACCCCACTCAACTGCTGACGTAGAAAGAGTTTTCAGTGCTAGGAATTATATCAAATCTAACCTAAAAAACAGGATGAAGTTTGACCTCTTAAATGCTATCGTGCCATTAATTCGGCCTGATGAGACTAGAGAAATAAGCCTACTGTTCCACTTTAAAGAAATTTGAACAGCTAAAGCATACCAGGGTCATCTTGGATCTGAAGCTTCAACTTCATTATCCAAGCTAAGTTTATCCTGTGGATCTTGTGAGGCAGACAATAGTGAAGGTGAGGACATGATTATGTAGGGTAAGTCATAACAAAAGCTATGAAATTTTTTGACTTTTTCAATTTGGATGTTTTTTCTAGATCTTTTCCACGCAGATTTAGATTTTTTTAGATATTTTTTTGACATCGTTTTGGATATTTTTGTCAAAGAAAAGTGGCAAGACTGGATGAAACCAGTTCACCCCGTTAGGTTTCCTTCAAGATATTGTACTTACAAAACGCTCAATGCCATTGTATAAGCCGAAGCAAAGCAGCCTGCTGTCAGATTGAAATACATACATAGCATAGTTATTACTCATTTATACTAATTGTTTCTTTTGTTCCAGGTCTGTTCGGCAGTGAACTCTCAGAGCGTGACTTAAAAATGCTTTCGGATACTTTACAAGTCTTCCACAAAGCCATGGTCAACGCTTCAGTTCCGTATTTCTTATATAAGGTAAACAAAACAAACAAAAAGGATATAGTAAACGACCGTTGCACGGTATGGACCAATCGGTATTCGATTGCTGATGTGGTCAATATCATGTCGGCCGTTGTTACTTAGCAGAACTTCACTGGTGCCTGTGGGTCGACACCGGGTTGCTATTTGAAGGTTTGTCATAGAATCATTAGATTTAAAAAAAAATGAAACGGATATCAGATCAACAAAGCTGATCCCAGGTTCTCTGTTCATCTTCCAAAGAAGTTATAATTAGGCCAACTGTAACTGCAACCTCAAGTCAAGTGTATCCTGCAGTCTTGTACTTGATGCCGGTTCCGAATTCTGGCTTGATGACGTTACCGAATTCTGGCTTGATGTTGATACCAAATTCTGGCTCGATGCCGATACTGAATTTTGGCTTGATATTGGTACCGAATTTTGGCTTGATGTTGGTACCGAATTCTGGCTTGATATTGGTACCGAATTCTGGCTCGATGCCGATAATTTTGCTCGGTGTCAGTACCGAATTATGGCTCGATGCAGGTACCGAATTCTAGCTTGATGCCACACCGAATTCTGCCTTGATGCCGGTACTGAATTCTGGCTTGATGCCAAAGCGAATTCTGGTTCGATGTCGGTACCGAACTCAGGCTCGATGCCATACCGAATTCTGGCACGATTTCGGTACCGAATTATGGCTCCATGTCGGTACTGAATTCTGGCTAGATGACATCCCGAATTCTAGCTCGATGTCATACCGAATTCTGACTGAATGTCGGGATCGAATTCTGGCTCGATGACAGTATCGAATTATGGCTTGATGCCGGTACCGAATTCTGGCTTGATGCTGGTACTGAATTCTGGCTTGATGCCGGTACTAAATTCTGGCTTGATGCCGGTACCGAATTCTGGCTTGATGCTGGTACTGAATTCTGGCTTGATGCCGGTACTAAATTCTGGCTTGATGCCGGTACCGAATTCTGGCTTGATGCCGGTACCGAATTCTGGCTCAATGTCGGGATCGAATTCTAGCTCGATGACGGGATCAAATTCTGGCTCGATGCCAATTCAAAACCGTATTAGGTAACGAAATCACATGGTGTTTCATGGAATACTCCATTATAAAATGAGCGATTTAAAACATATACATGCCTACAGGGAAGGATTTTAATACTTCTTGCCTTTGCTTTATTTCGTCCATATTCAGCTGTTAGGTGTTGCAGTAACAGATGATAGGTAACTGTAAAGACATGCACGGTTGCCTGGTATGTTGGGCAGTTGTGAAGACTTGAGGTATCAGTGACTCCTTTAATCCATATTTTGTGTAGTCGTCCTCTACATCTTGGTGTTTCTAGTTTTATGTTATAAGCTCTCGTTGCTGGCATCGTTGGATTCATTCTCATTGAGTGGCCAAACCATTTCGTTCTTAGTTTTGCCGTGAATTTAATTATCAGTGTTGTTCCAATAGTTTGTGTAATTTTAATCGTTTCTCACAAAATCTCTTCAAGTTTTGTTCACGGCCTTTCTCAAATATCTTATTTCGCAGGTGTTCAGTTTTCTTTCGTGTTCTTTAGTCAATGTATCAGTCTAACCCAGATAGGACACGGTTGATTTGAAGTTAACATCTCCACTGGGAGGATGCGACATAGCCATGTGATAACCGACTCCTCTTTAGTGTTATACTAGTCTAGCCTGACTTCCTTATCACTTCACTTTTGTCCCATGTATGCTATCCAGTCAGTGAATGAGAAGCACAGTAATTTAAAAGATGATATCCACTACTGATATCTCAGGTACTAATTATGAGAACTTCAAGGGTTCTTCGAATACAGAGTAACCATTCAACATATGAACTTTAATAAAGATAAACTCAAGAAATCTGATCACAGATAGATATGGATTATCAGAGACGAATAGTTCCACTTCAAAGAATGAATTTTCACAAGATAATTACTTCGTCATTATTGTCCAGTGTGCCTGTTCTTTATCTTCCCCAAATAGTCCACTATACCCCAACCACACTGTGTAACTACTGTCCGATGCTGAACACAAACACCTGAATTGAACATAAGAGTTTCAGTGTTCCCTCTGCTCCAGCCACTTAGTATGTAGAGTAAGTTATGCTGACAATTGGCAGATAATGCAATTGCTGGGGCAAAGCATGAATCATTCCATGACCGTATATAATCTGCTCCAATCATTCAATATTTGTATGCAGACTGTTGATTATTTGCAACGGACGCGCTCCGACTCTGAAGGAGAGACCCCTAATTTGGCGCTTCCTACAACATGCTTGTCAAGGGAGCAGCGGGTCTAGTCTATTGTTTGTTCTCCACAATGGAGCCCCGGAACTCACACGGGGTATGTGTTGTTCATTGGGTATGTTCTCATTTCTAGGGCACCTTGTTAGGGTCCTACCGTCACCACAGCATTGTGCCTTGGGATGACGACATAGACGTGATCGTTCATGAGAAGCATAAAAAGAAATTGCAAGAGGTACTGAAACTGCCAAAGTCACGTTATGGACTGAACTCCACAACTTTGAGGTAAGTGGACACAGGTTTTAGTCTTATTATGTTTGAGAGGATTTCTGTCAGCCTATCATAGAGTCTGTTTACCTGACAGCCGGTCGTTTATTCACTCTTTTCCAAATCTATATTCTTTTCTGCTTGCTTCTTTCTTCTTTGCGTTCACCAGCTGTAAATTCCGGTGAAAAGTTCGGAATGCTCGCCCACTTCCAAATATGGACTTGTTCCGGAACGTGTGTGTTGCGTGCACATCCGTCTTACCGACCTAGCTTATTTTTATGCGTACAATTGGTTCCTTGCCTCTCAGGCAAATACACTCAGAAATTGAAGAAAACCTCAATACTAACTACGCTGGCCAGGTGCCAGGCTAGGAATGGTTTTCCAGGATGACCAAAGAGAGATGTAGATAGGTCTTGACTGATTCAAACCTCCGTCCCACTAAGCCTGGCTTTGCAGCTCTACATAGCAAATCTATATTCAGTAGTGAATACTTATCGAAACAAAATTTCGTCCTTTAGTCCCATTCCATTCTTTCATTCTTCTTAACCAGTCGGTATTGCAGAAGTTTTCACAACAGAAGTTTCAAAATGGACATTGAAGGCATGGACGAATACCAAGCAACAACAGGTTAATATTCTAGAGATTCACGTGGGTATACTGCCCTGTCTGACGAAGAATCTTTGGACCCATCAAAGATGCAGACAGTGGGGAATGCAGAGTGAGAAGCAACAAGGAAATTCATAATCTGTTTAAATCACCATTGATCACTGGCATCATGATAGCTAATAGACTGAAACGGTTGGGGCATATTGAGAGCATGTCAAATGACAGAGAAGTAAAAACTGTATACACAGGGGAGATGAATGGTCGGAGACCACGAGGCAGACCAAGAAGACGATTAAGAGATAATGTCCAGACAGACCTGCAAACACTTGGTGTCACCAAGTGGAAAGAGAAGGCCAACCGGAAAGATGAGTGGAGGTGGGTGATATCTGCAGCAATGAACCTCAAGGGCTCGGAATGCTGAAGTATAAGATACTGCCCTGCAAAACTAAACTGGTAGACAAATTATTTTTGGACAGGGCAGAAATTCTGAAGACCATTTAAGAGACGATTCATGTTCGAAAAAGATACGACTTTTTAAAAAAAAAACATCGCCTGTAAGGTTCGTAAATTTGGACTTGAGGGTGATTCTACGAGAAAAGATTCTGCGACGGACAGTACTATGTCTGTACACCCGGTGTGCTACTGAAACAGTCAGCATCTTGTTGGTCCTTTTCTGTCTTCCCAGACGATAGTGTTCCACTGTGCTATAGAGACGCCGGTGCATCACAGTTCATAGCTTACGCGAACGTTTCCTAGCAAGACCAGCTTGCGGTAAAAAAGAAAGTCTTCTACAATAAGAGCACGGGATCTCAGGACCATGTTTTACCATCGCCTGTATTTAACACGATTTTTCTCGTCTGCTCAGTTCTGAGCCTGTCTGCAATCCTGCGCTGCTACTACTAGAACAGTCAGCATTTACACCTAAGGCATCTGCTGTGGGAGAAAGAGTATCTTTTGGTATGCCCGCTATACCATGATGTGAATTCTGGCATCAATAATTATTGAACGATTGATCCATAGACATGGTCAGTGTGTGTTACTGGAGTGACTAAGAAATGCCACTATGACGATTTTTGGAATGTCATGAAACAAGAAGATTACCAATACATTCATGGCTGTCTTTTTTTTTTTTTTTTTTTGTCTTACTGTTACCAGGCTGTAACATAGGGACGTGGATTTCAGTATTTGTCTTACGCTTCTCGGGTGGCTTTGGCGGTGGTTTTGTTCTTTTTGTAAGGGTGTACCCAAGCGCTCGGCGCTGCAGTCAGCAGTGCTAGCTTCTCTTCGAAAAGGTGAAAAGTGAATTCAAGTAGCCTGCCAACAACCCATAGAGCACACAGGACAACCCCACATCCTCGTGATGCACGCAGGAAAACTGAAGCGTGAGGTTTCGTGCTAAAGGGTCAATGACTCCCATAAGAGAAGATGGACACCAGGTCACTTTTTTTTTTTTTTTGGTCTTTCTCCTCGACGCGACGGGCCTAGCGAGCAGGCAGTGGTATAATCAACTGCATCATAAAATACATTCTTCTCTATATGTACAAAGTGAAGAATTAGCTCATACAATATCGTTTTTCAGAACTGAAATTATTCCGATATATCAAACGCCGTAAACATCAGTTTATTAATGATTATATTACTGATAGTTAAAAGTATATCTTCATGTACACTGACAGTCACTGATGTATTTTGAGCTGAACAGATTATGTATTTTTCCACCAGGTACAAGTTCTACGATACGTCGGGTCATGAAATCAAATTACAGTCTTGGAAAGCCCCTTTTTTGGATATCAGCTTCTACAAAGACAACTCTACACATTTATGGGACACTACCATAAAAAATCAAGCGCCTTATAATAAATCTGACATTTTCCCCTTGACTGAGCGGCCGCTGTTTGGGCACGTATACCCTGCCCCGCGCGATCCTCTGAGAGTCTTGCAAATGAATTACAATTTAGATGAATGCAGCACGGGACCTTATAACCACACAGCAGAATTTGAAAAGCCTGCTACGATGGTGGGGACTGTACCTTGTTCTTTATTACTGGACGCCATCCCGTTTGTGCAGCACGTGAGGGGACCCGCTGGGGCCTGGTGTGAGGAAGTCTTAACACACAGGGGTCAAGTTGTTAGTGTGTTTGTCAGGAATTCAACAGACATCCCTGTCTGCTGATGTTTGAAGATGCTCAGTATGCAAAATGTAAGCAGATATGTATGCTATATGTATGCAATGTGTATGGTATGTGTGTATGCGAAATGTATGCAATATGTATGTATGTATGTATGCAAGCATTAATGCGATATATATGTATGTTTTATGTATGACAAGCTGTTCCCGGCCACGCGTTGCTGTGGCATAGTTTGGCTAAATGGAAGAGAAAAAAACCCCACAGAAATCGCACGTGTGTAATATGGTTACTGTCGCAATCATTGTCTGCGAACATACTGAGATAGTCTTCGATGCTCCCCCCCCCCCCCCCCAATCCACCTAATACTCGCTCCCTCATCAAAGGCTTTTTGAAAAAAAAAGACAATAGAAATCGCACGTGTCTAATATAGTTAATCTCGCAATCATTCTCTGCACAGATACAGAGATAGTCTAGTTTGCCACTTTAGAACACGCAACATGTAATTGCGTCTTTTCTATTAGTGGTCGTTTAAATGGTATTATTAGCACAGTAAAAAAATTGGTTTTTTGGTTATCACATGCCAAAGCTGTTTGTATTTTTTTTTTAAGAGTCGCAAGTAAAGCTTACTACTGTACTTGTAAATAGCCAAGTAAGTCGTTAAAAAATGAGAATAGCTGAGGTAGCATTGGTAAAATATTACCAAATTAGGAAATTAAATCTTAAAATTCATGCTTTAAGCTCTTTAAGTTAACAATTTCTTCCATCACCCCCTCCCCTCCCCCATCCACCGAATACTGCTCTCTCCCTCATCGAAGGATTTGAAAGTCATCAACCGACGATATTTTTTGTAACTGACGTTAGTCTATCCGGACTCAAATAGGGAGCAGGAGTTGTAATGAGTATTAAATGCAGCTAGTGTAATATTTATCACACTATCCATCAAGTACCAGTACAACTACCACCACCACCGCCACCACAATAACTAAAATAATGTCACTGCTATCTGTTTTACCGTTGGAGTAGACAGGTAGTCGTGAGCCAGAGGATTTGGCGCCGCAACGCTAATGCTATCGCCACGGACTGGACAGGTTAAGATGTGTAATTTCGCTCTCCGACAGAAAAATGCCATCACCTTACCGGCGGTCTCCGGCATGACACCACTACGGTGTAACCACTCAATCACGACTGCTACTTTGGGTGGGTAAGTCAGTTACTTTGACTTAAAGCTCTTCCAGTTACCAGTTTATGCTACCCCCATCCCACCCCCCCCCCCAATTCACCGACTACTCTGTCCATCATCGAAGTAGTTTGGAGAAAAGAAAACACTAAGTGAATTGAAACGAAAACATGAAAAATACACCATAATTACTAAATGAACGCTATGATAAACAACACAGCCAAATTCTAACGCAGTGTCAAAAGAAATATTTAAATCGAAATGAAAATAAATGGAAATCTATGAAAATTCATGCAATCAGAAAGTTTGAAATGAAATCATAAGTTTGCGAAATGGCCAAATGTAATTATCAACTGGTTTACCCCATACTTGTATTCTTTTTTTTATTTTTTTTTTATTTTTTTTATTTTTTTTTTTTTAGTATTTATGGCCACATGGCTAGCGCTGTCGCCACGACAGAGCAGCTCTGGGTTTTATTTTGCCCCCCCCCCCCCCCCTGTTTAAAAAAAGGAAACTGCCGTACTGGGGATTCGAACCCTCGTCTCCCGCACGGAAACCCTGTGTACTAACCATTCGACCAGCCAACCACTGCTTCTGATGAACAAAAAAAGAACTAGAGTACCCAAGATCTGTGTCCTGATTTTAACACAACTCAAAACCGCAGGCAATTGTATTCTCATAAACAGATATCCCAGATATAAACTTCAAGTATTATTGAAATGGCACAATAATAGAAATCGTACGTGTCTAACACGGTAAATGTCGCAATCATTGTCTGCGCAGACATAATCCCCCCCCCCTCACCCTTCTCTTTTCCATAATCTCAAATCCACCGACTACTCTCTAACTCATCGAAGGTTGTTTGAAAAGAAAAATACGGGCGGATGTTAAAAAAAAAGAGCGTCCTGTGTCTACTGCGCATGCACTGTGAAAGTCGATCGTTATGCACATTTACTAACGTGGCTATAATTAAATGTCACTAAAAATGGAAATATTAGTTTCGAAGATTTTAGCAACAAACGTGGTCAACTATCTCTAACAATGACAGGCAGAATTTTAAAACCATGGTGGGTAAACATCCGGTATCAAAACAAACATATCCTGAAAATTTCAGCTAAATCGGTTCAGTAGTTTCCGAATCTATAGCTCATAAACAAACACACAAACATTGATTTGTATATATATATATATATATATATATATATATATATATATATATATATATATATATATATATGTGTGTGTGTGTGTGTGTGTGTGTGTATGTATGTATGTATGCAATGGAAATGTATGTGACAAGACCGTCTTCATATGACGGGCCATGCTACTGACGTCATCAAACCGGGCAAAAGATACATTAGAGCAGTGATTCCCAAACCGCGACCTCTTCACAGGAGCTCCGCAAAATATTCAAAGATAGACGATTATTATTTGTTTTGATCTCTTACAGACGAATACTCATACTTTTACTAAGGTTAGGGAGCCGTGAATACAAAATTAATTGAAAAAAGACTATAGACAATTTAGAAAACACCGATAAAGTACGGTTAGCCCGGTTTGGTGACGTCAGCAGCATGGCCTGTCAGATCGAAACGGTCTTGTTTGCGATATGTACGATATATATGATATGTATGTATGCAATATGTATAATATGTATTATGCGATGTATATGAAATATATGTATGTAATATCTTTGTGATATTATGAGATATGTATGCGATATGTTTACGATATGTATACGATATGTATGCGATCTGTATACGATATGTATACGATATGTATGCGATATGTATACGATATGTATGCGATATGTGTGCATTCAATGGCATGAACGTGTTTGTCTATAAGACTGTGTATGCTTTTTTATGAGAGTGAATGATGGATATGTACAAGCCGTCAAAATAGCAGCTTAGAAAAAATTTTTGACATATACGTCATATTTCACAACCCATGTGTATTTTCTGACAGATCTAAGAGCCGTGCTTCAGGCACTCCAATCTGGAAAACTACTTGGTATACGAACACTACTCTCTAAACGAGGCAGCCGCTGTAAGGCGACTATGCAATGGAGTTCCTGGAAATAAAAGAAATAAACTAGTTAAAGAAGGTGTAAATGAAGAACAACCCGACGTACCAGTCTCTTTTCAACAAAAGAAGTGAATAATCAAATCAATCAGAAAGCCACCAAAACTGGCGCAAGACGATTACCATTTTATGGACAGACCAAAGAGAGTTATTATTCTATGTGAGAATGTATTTACTTGTGTAGTTGTTTATACATCCATGTGTCTGTGTATGTATGAGTGTGTTATGTGTGTTTGTGTGCGTGTGTGTATCATGAGTATGTATGTGTGTGTATGTATTTGTATATATGTGTATGTGTGTGCGTCTATTATGCACATAATATATGCCTGTATGTGTAGGTGTGCATGTATATATGTATATATGTGTGTGTGTGCACACGTTTGCATGCAGGAATGCATTTTAATTTTTATATTTGCCCGTGTGCTATTGACTGTGTTGACCAATTTCTTCCTAGTAAAGAAAATTATCCATTCGTGGGTAGCGACTACAGTTCTTTCTATTATTAACCATGTACCTGCCATCTGGGGTTATTTATCCTTTCCACTATATTCTAAGCATTCTTTTGTATATCATGGAAGGAATAAGTCTAAAACCTTTTGTTTTTCTCGTCAATGTCCATCTTTTGGATATCATTGAAGGAAAACAGTCCAGAACCTTTGGTCTCTCTCCTCAATGTCCATCTCGGGCAGTCTCTGAGACGTCATCATTTCCCCAGTCCACATGTTTCCAATTCCACTGCCTGTTTTGCTATTCTACATCCGCTTCTTCCCGAGATGAAGCCAATCTATCAGCACTTTCTTTTGTTTTTTTAACGATTTATGTCAGTGGTTGTCCAGACGTTTCACTTATTTCTTCGCCTCTCTTGAACTGATCCTATTTAATGTTCATAAGACATCTCTGGTGATAATTCTGTGCCAGAGAAATATCCAATTGCAATGGGGTTTATAGATTAGCAAACGGAAATAATCGTAACAGAAATCAAAACAACAGAATCAGAAACAGCAGAAAAACAGAAATAATGGTGGCTACAAAGAAAATGGACAATCCCAAATTAGCATTAAGGTTAGTGGGACAACCTTCGAGCAAGCTGATACGATCAATTACTTGGAAATCCTAATCACATCAGATGTAAGATATATAATAGATGTTGAATATAGAACAGCCCAAGTAGAGGCAATATTTAATCAAAGGAAGAATATTCTTTTTTTCCTGTGTCAATTAAGACGAGAAAGATAACTTTCAAGATCTAAATAAATCCCATCTTGATATATAGAAGAGAATCATGGATATTCTGACTATTATTGAAAAAATATCTGGAAGCTGTCAAGATGTGGTTATATAAACGAATGATGGGAACACACTGGACAGATAAAAAGAAGATTGCAGATGTGTTTGAAAGAAACTGACTCACGAAGAGTAATGATTACCGGATTAGAAGGTGACAATCTACATTCTTTGATCATGTCAACGGGAGGGACAAACTAAAGAGCATCGTGTTGATATGATAGTTTTAGGAGAAAAGAGGCAGACGAAGACTGAGAGATAAGATATTGGCCAATTTACGTCATGGTATGGAAGACGATTTGTGTCAGAACTGACTGAAAGAACATGAGATAGAATGCAACGGGTATACATGACCACTAACGCATCATCACCTATAAGAAGAGAAAACGCTTTTGTAATTTTCGATATTGTATGACAATTTCTTATGTCGGTGCACATCTTGTCTATGTGTTATGAGATTTTGTTGTGTCTTTCAAATGTGCTTATTTATTTTGTCGA